TGTTTAAGACACTTTTGCCAACAGCTCACTCGAAAGGAAAATGGGTAAAACCACGGTCTGCATCGTCCAAGGCGTAGAAGACCTACGAGACACACTGGATAAACAATGGATGTAAGCCCAACTTTAAGTATTATACACACAGGCACGCGGGCCTTGTTGGGAGTGGGTGCAATAAAATGCGGATACGAACTGAACTTCAGCTCTGACAGGTTTCTCAACTTGTGCTTTGTTGCTATGAATGGTTGGTGATAATAAACGCAACGCGTTAGAGATGAAGTTTTTCCTTATAAACATACGGTGTGGGACGACCGCGGGGCCGAAAGCACACCATCACAGCAAAGATACAATTTGTTATGTCTTTTAGTTCATTCCTTGCCGTAGAAATGCAGTTTGAACAGTTTATGTGCCCGTAACAGTTTTAACCACCCCCCCCCCCCCGGGTGGCCGGTTGAATAGTCATTCATTCGCTTGGGGGCAATTTGAATCCCCTCTGAGATCTCAGGAACTAAAAAACCTGGAGACAAATGGTGTGTTGGTATGCTTGCGAACTCACTTGTGTCCAAAAATGTGACGTCATTAGGTATACGTGTATAGGTATTGTGGTATATAGGTATATGCTGACGTATATAGGTATTAGGTTATTAGTATATTCCTAAAACGAAATGTAACCGTGTCATTTTAGGTCAGTGTCTATTCTGACTATTAAAGAAATCGATGAAAGACGTGTGATGTGGTTGCTGCTATCGTTCATTCAAGATAAGCACCAGAAAACCACCTGCATGCAGCAACCTCTAGACTTATAAAGTATATCGGTTTTACCCTCGGCCTGACATTCAGTACCTTACCCTAGGCCAATCGAATTTGTTCATTCAATTGTTGTGTTGCCTAAGAAACTAAGAGATTTATGACTTCCTCTAACACTCCGTTGTTACATCAGATTGAACGAACGAACGACTGAACGAAAGAACGATTGAACGAACAAACGATCCCCTAGAAATTGTCCGCTGAATCCGTGGTCTGACTTTGACTTGCCGTAGGTCAACAATCTCACACGATAAACCTAAATTGTTGATATCAAGCGATCCGATTTTCAACTGCCTACAGCTATGCAAAATTTGGCGCGGCTTCGCCGCGCCGTTTGGAAACCATTTCGGAAAATCCTTCCGGGTTTCAAACTGACCTCCACCTGCGGACGTGTCGAGAGTGCATGCCTGTGTCAGTACCAAAGGCAGGAATCCCACATGAAACACTCGATTTTATTATCATTCATTGTAAAGGCAGCTTGTAGCACTTACCTAACGCATATATCGAAGAAGACTGCATCCCCTTTAGTCACCTCTCTGACTCCTCTGTTGTACCTTGATAGATGCATGTTGTAAAACGATTAAAATTATGGGCAAATCATCACAGCACGAAACACCAGAATATCCGTCGGATTGCGACTTCAATATTTTTCCCTAACCCATATCGCCTGACTACTCGCTGGCAGCGCGTGCATCCGCGCATGCGCATGCTGAGGTAGACATAGTGTCGATTGCACTCAACAGTCAGCAAGAATCACGGCATTGATAGACGACCTGAAACCGAAATAGATCCCTTGCACATCCCTCAGTTT